ATGGCTCCCTATATCTTACATCTGTTGATGTTGATATTTAGGATCTGAAGAAAAAGGAGAAAGAACTCCAGGCTATGGAGGCTGAGCTAAACAAAAGAGAGCGGGTATGCAGTATGCTGCCTTATCATTGCAGAGATTTCAGTCTTTCTGCTCCTTTTGCTAACTATAGCAGTTCTGACAAATAGGATGCAAGTTCATGTTTCACAAACTACTCTATGATAATTTGTCTCTCGTACTTAATATGCTTAATATGTTGCCAAAGCATTCCTATACTCAAATATTTCATCTGAGAGGCTTATGTTGCTTTGCATATTACTTATATTGATTAAAAAAATCATTCCTTTTGCATACAATTGCATTGAGAGAGCCATGTTGCTTTATATGTGTTGTATATTGATCTTTTTATTGGATATTTTGATGCTTTTTGAGATATTGGAGCTTTTTGAGTCAATGAAGGAAATGTTGTTTTTGCTGCTTATGTGTTTGAAACTTTGAATCCATGTTCCATCTGTTTATTTACTTGGTGCACAATTCTGTATCTAAAATGTTGATATGATTCCTTTTTATTCGTCTTCATTGGTGTAGGAATTGAAAAGGAAGGAAGAGGCGGCATCCCGAGGTACATTTCATCTTTGTTCATTCTTTTAAATAACTGTTTATTTCATTTTTGTACATTCAATAAAAAATTGAACTCACAAGAAAGATATTGGTTAAAGCCAATGTGTTTATTGAGGAAATGTACTGAGAAACCAATTCTGTCACCCAACACGGGTTACACATTCAGTTTTATTTCTATGCTCAGTTATTGATTCTACTAGATGATGTTTGCAGATATCATGATGTATTTCTTCCATTTTTTAATGAAAATTTGTTTTTTCTTTTCATAGAGAGTTGGATACCCTAAACCCAAAACACCCTGAAGAAATCTGGGTTGCTATATATTTTCAGTTTTTCCACTAACCTTTATTTATTTTTCAGCTGGCATTGTGATAGAAGAGAAAAATTGGCCTCCCTTTTTTCCCCTTATCCACCACGACATTTCCAATGAGATACCTATCCATCTACAAAGGATGCAGTACCTTGCATTCTTGTCATTCTTGGGTAAGCTTAGTGTAAAAAATGTGTTGGTTAGTACTACTGTACTAAATCCTCTCTCTCTCTCTCTCTCTGACTTAAGTATATTGTATTGATCTTTTTTTATATTATGCATTAATAGTGTTACTACTAGTAGGGAGTGGATGACAATAAGCTTTCACTTCCTTGATTGTTGCATAAAGGATTTATTATGTTCATTTGATCCGTGGACTGATGCATTTCGCAGAAAATAATTCTGATAGATAGTGGCTAGTACGTTCATTTGGCGTAACATTTCTCACCTGAGGTTCTCTTACCCAATGCTTGTTCCTCATGCAGGATTGGTAGCGTGTCTCTTTTGGAATATCATTGCAACTACAACAGCTTGGATTAAAGGGGAAGGTACAACTAAAGTGTGCCTTATTGTCATCTTATTTATCTTCTTCCATCAGCACGTGTTACCTTACTGACACTTCAAGTTCAAACTAATATGACCTATCTACTTCAAAAGGTGTTATGATCTGGCTGCTTGCCATTATCTACTTCATATCTGGTGCACCCGGGGCTTATGTGTTATGGTATCGACCTCTTTATAATGCAATGAGGTTGTTATATGCATCCATCCCTTAATACAATACATTTTTTTTAACCATTTCAATGTTCCTTATAATCATATATCTTGTTTTGTTTGAATTTCTGCTTCAGAACTGAGAGCGCTTTGAAGTTTGGGTGGTTTTTTCTATTTTACATGGTAAGATGTCGAGTAAAATAAACTAAAGGTTTCACACATCATGTCTTAGCATTGTATTCATAAAGTTACTGCATGCCTCACTGCCAATCTTTGCCCATTTCCAGATTCATATAATCTTCTGTGTGTGGGCAGCTGTGGCTCCTCCATTCCCTTTCAAAGGAAAATCTTTGGCGTAAGTATCGTAGTTTACTGAACTTTACTTGAGAGTTGAGATGCAATAACCAATAATTCTTTGTAAGTTCTCTTTGAAGGGTAGCTGTGAGGAGCCATAGATGTCCCTAGTCATAATTTGTGTTTCCATACAATCTTATTCCATAAATAGTAATTTCTATTTCACTTAAGAATCAGTATATTTACCCACTCAGTGCTTGTCCTGAATTGTAGCCAATAATAATCTCCAAAAGGAATCATTGTGGATATACAATATTTACCCCAAATCTTCAGCATGAGCAACATACACACTTTGTGGTCCTGGACCTACGAATAAAACTCTAAATCGGGTAGTGCTTGCTGAAGTTGAGATAGCTATTTTTTTTGCCTACCATGCGTCATAACTTTACCGAGGAGTCCTGCTCCACCTGTGTTATAAGAAGCCCAACACGTAATGTTGTTGTCTAACCTTATTGTGAGAAAACACTACACTGGTTTTGAGGGTTTATGTGATCAAAATCATTTGGACGTTTTCAACTAAAGCATGCTCTTTATTTTTTATGCATCCAAGTGCTAACTATTTCTTTGCTGTTTTAACAGTGGGATTTTACCTGCAATTGATGTCATAAGCAAGAATGCTATTGTGGGGGTAAGTCTATATCAGTTTTGAGCTGTTAAGTTTATTGTCATGGCTCACTTTACCTATATGACCTTTACTCTGTTTCATGAATCATGGGCATAGGATTTACTTAGTACTTACCAAGGAAATATATGTTTATGTAATATTCACCATGGCAGAGTTAACTACATTTTTGTTGCAGATATCTTGTATCATGTCCTTAGACTCTCACAGGCACTCAATTGCCTTTCTGGCTTCTTTAATTTCTAAAACTGCACTCTTTACCAAATCATCGTTGCATCCAATAGTCATATATTGGTCAGCATAGCTTATTTAGTTCCTAAGTAATTTACCCTTTTTTTATGTTTGACAGATATTTTACTTTGTTGGATTCGGCTTGTTCTGCCTTGAATCACTTCTGAGCATCGGTGTCATTCAGGTTGGTTGAATCTATTCTTTGTTCAATGAATCCTCCATCATACTGTTCGATCCGGCAAGTATACATGTACTTCCACCTGATCATCAAGTTCTCTCTCAACTTGCAGCAAGTATACATGTATTTCCGTGGAAGTGGAAAAGCTGCAGAGATGAAACGTGAGGCAGCACGTAGTGCTCTAAGTTCAGCCTTCTGATGAACATAGGGCGGTCTGATTACAGCCAGTTGATGGATAGAAGGGAACGAGATATGCCAATTGAGCCACGGGGTCTTGTACATCACTGCAGTACGTGGATTTGGATCTCTGAAAGCGTACAGCTGATCATCTTTTTGCTCTTCTGTAAAATATGAACAATCCTCATATGGATGCGTCAGGATGTTGATTTCATTTCTTGCCATGGTTTAGGTGTGGTTGATAGGGAAAACGGAGAAGTTATTTTGGAGTAGCGAATATATCATACGTTTGCATGTGTTGCTTGTTTATTTCTTGTGGTATGAATGCAGCTTTGCTGTGTTTTCGGCCAAGGCAATCCACTTGTTATGACACTTCCCTGCCAGCACCTGTAGTCCTGTACCCGTGGCTAACATTTTGCACTTGGTATCTACAGCCGTCGGGTATATGATATACGAGGATATCCACACACACACCAGTCGGGACTAAAATTTAGTTCGTGTCACGCTAACTAAAAGAACTAAACATGAGCTAATTATAAAATTAATTGTATATGAGTAGACTAATTAGCGAGACGAATCTATTAAGTCTAATTAATTTAGGATTAGCACATGTTTACTATAGCGTCATATTATCAAATCATGGACTAATTAGGCTTAATAGATTTGTCTTGCAAATTAGCCTCCATCTGTACAATTAGATTTATAATTAGTCTGTCTAATACTCATAGTTAGTGTCAAACATCTAATGTGACAGGTTTAGGAGGGGTATCAAACACTCCCTTAGATTGTTACTGGAATAGATGAAATTCTTTATATTTTAATCACCAACGGGTCACTGGAATAGATGAAATCCTTTTCATATTTTAATCACCAACGGGTGAAACAAAATACCTATACATGCAGTGATGCAGGTAGAATTGTATACTCATATTCCCTGGTGAAATTTTATACCCAATTCTATATCGCATCTGCCTGTTGGTAGTATTGTCATCCCTAGCATGGAGCTTTTGCAAGAAGGCTCTGGTCCTGGAATTCCCAATTTTCCTATTGGAGCTTTTGCAATAAGGCTCTGGATTTTTCTATAAGAAGGATTAAAAACGAAAAAGAAGAAAACTCTAGGTCAAATTGTCGCTGCCCTCTCCTAGGGTTGGACAAAATACTCACAGCACTCCAGCTTGTTTTACTTTTTCAGCACTCCAGCTTGTTTTACTTTTTCACAAGCTAAACTAAACTGAAAGTTGAGTTGTTTTAACCAACCAGCTCACGCTCACAAGCTCATACTACGAGAGGCTAGCAGCACAACAGGTTTCCGATAAACCCAGTCTAAACCGGCCTATCAGTCTTGCCAGCCCACGGCAACGAGGGAGGCCCAGCAAGCCCACCACAAAACCAACCCTAGTGCCCGTGTGAACGGACCGAGCGCGCCGCCAGCCCTCTAGTGCCGAAGTTCCCGAGTCCGAGAGTCCGACCCCTCCACTCCTCCGTGGCTCCGTCCGTCGGTCTGCCCGCTAGGCGCTACAGCCGCCAGCCCGCCACTCCTCCGCACGCGCAGTCGCCGGCCACCGACCGGGGCTTGTCCCCCCCATCCACTGCAGTCGCCGGCACCGCTTGCAGCCGCCGGACGCTTGTTGTAGCTTGCGAGCTAAACGGCCAGAGCTGGACCGAGCCGAGCCGGCTCCATACCCACTCCTACTCCAAAACCGCGCCGCCACTAATCTAAAGCCCTAAACCCATGACGCCGCCGCCGCAGCACCTCCCTCTCCATCCGCAGAACCCCAGCCTCGCCTCCCTCACCTATGGCGCGACATCCTAAGCCGCCCGCGTCCCCGTCCCTATCCCCGCCGCCGTGCCCGCCCTCGGAGTCGGACCCCGGCATCGGCTTCGACCCAATCGAGGAGTGGCTCGTGGACTTCGACCCGGCCATGTCGAGCGAGCTAGCGGCCAAGGGTCTCGGCCCCGCTGAGCAAGCGGCGGCGGTTCCGCATACGCTGGTGGAGACTGCGGCGGAAAAGAGCTCCGAGCTCGAGTTTGGTGTGAAGGACGGGAAAGTAGAGGTGGTGAGCAGCGGCGGATTGGACGAGCTGCTTGCCCCGGATCAGCTACTGGTGTCGGGGATTGGCGATTTGGATGTGAGAGAGGACATTCCAGAGGGAGAGGGAGCGGTTGCTATGGAGATGGCTGCCGCACGGCCCGCGCCTGCTGATGCTGAGATGAATACCACGGTGTGCGTGGAAGTGGAATCGGAAGGTGGCAAGGAAGGGCAGGAGGCACCACCCGCACCTTCTGATGCTGAGATGATGAATACCACGGTGTCCGCGGAAGTACAACCGGAAGGTGGCAAGGAAAGGCAGGAGAGCAGCGATGAAGAGTCGGAGTCAGAGAGCAGTGAGAATGATGATGACAGCTCATCGAATGAGGCTTCCTCGAGCAGTGAAGAGGAGAAAGAGCAGGGGGTCCACAAGGATGAGGAATCGAGTGAAGCCTCAAGCAGCGAAGAGGAAGAACTTGGAGTTAAGAGGCATGGTGGTAAGGCCGATAACCTGGAGACCCTCCTTGAGGAAGGCGAGTTGATGATCGGGAGCCATGAGGAGGATGAGGAACAAAAGGGAGGCATCAAGTCCAAATATGAAGCAGAGGTATTTGAGTTGCAGTATCCTGTGGCATGCATCTACTTTTGATACTTATTAGGTGTGATTTTCTTGGTGCGGTGCTGTGTTAATCATTTGTGAATGGGGTGCGACTATGATTCTAGTTAGTGCAATTACCTTGAAACAATTTCTATCATGCAGTTAATTTTTAAGAGTAGCCTATCGTTTGAATCAAAATGAAGTTTATGCTTATTTCTAACAGATACTGTCCTGTTTGTAAGGCTGTAGTAGTGTTGCAGAAACTGTGTGGAAACACACAACTCTGTGTTGCTATGCAATTTCAATGCTAAAGTCTTGCATTCAGTTGTTTCCAGGATCTCCGAAATGACATGAGCTGTTGCTTTCCATATCCCTAAAAGTTTGTTGTTTACATTTGTATTTGTATGCATCTTCTAATGTGGATATACATCACAGGTCCTTCCACCAGTCCCAAAAATTGAAATACAGTTGGAACCACATCATCAGACTCTTCCAGTAGGGACTATTTCTGCTGTAAGTCTTATATTTCCTGCGCAGGTCCTTTTGTGTTTATATTATATTTATCCGTGGAGTTAGACTCAGATGGAATCTACCTCATTGTATTTTTTCCCTTTTATAAGGAAAACTGTATGCACAATTTATTTAGTGCTATCTGAAGCTTAAAGGCACCAGAGTTGTGGTAGTTGTTTTTACTTGGTTTGCAGCTGTTAGCATTTTTTTGGTAAAATACTTCTCAATTGTGGTGTTTTGGATTGTTATCATATAATGGTCGATCTAGTCCTGACTCATAAAATGCATACCGTATAATGTTTGAGTTCATATGCTGATTGTTTGCCTGTCTGCTATCTTTCCAGATAATGGGTGAGAGAGTAATTGTTGAAGGTTCAGTCCAACACAACCCCTTGAATGAGGGTTCAATTCTCTGGATAACAGAAAGGAGGACGCCACTTGGTATAGTTGATGAGTTGTTTGGACCTGTTAAGAACCCATACTACCTTGTGCGGTACAACTCTGAGGAAGAGGTACCTGCTGGGATCAGTGCAGGAACCAATGTCTCTTTTGTAGCGGAGTTTGCTGATCACATCCTGAATATGAAGGAGCTCTATGCAAAAGGCTACGATGAATCTGATCCTGTAGACAATGATGAAGAAGAAGATTTACCTAATTTCTCTGATGATGAAAAGGAGGCTGAGTACAAACGGTCATTACGTCAAGCAAAAAGGCAGACTGATAGACAGCATGAGCCTATGAAGACTTCTTGTGATAGGAAGAGATCACAGTCTAGAGGTAGCGGAATCCGGAAGCCCGTGCCGCCAAGGAACCTGGATACATCAACACCAGGTCACCAGCCACGGCCTCATTTTCACCGCTCAGATATGGCTCCTGCAGGTGCTGAAAATACAGCACGTTCATTGGGTCCTCAAAATGCACCTATGTTTGCTCCAACCATGCTGCCGTGTGGCCCAATGAACCCTGCTGTGCCATCACCTGTTCCTCTTGCAAATCAGATGGGTGGCTGCTTCATGAATCCGGCGCAGCAGCAGTTCTTACCGCAGCAGCCTAATATGGTTTGGCCTGGTGGATTTCCACAGCCTCCTCATCCGAACATGGGGGTAGATGGAGCCGCACTCGCTGCCAACATCATGCAGAACCTCCTCGCAGGAGCCAAACAATTCCAGCAGCAGTTTCAGAACCCGAACTTCAGTGGCGCAGGAGCCAACCAATTCCCGCAGCAGTTTCAGAACCCGAACTTCAGTGGCGCAGGAGCCAACCAATTCCCGCAGCAGTTTCAGAACCAGAACTTCAGTGGCCCGGGAGCCAACGAATTCCAGCAGCAGTTTCAGAACCAGAACTTCGGTGGCTTCCCAAACCAAATGCCGATGCCCTTTCCTCAGTTCATGCACCAAACTGGAATGCCTGCAAATCCGATGCCATTCGGTGGCAGACCACCAGTGAACTCTCCATTTGGTCCCACGCCTCAAGTGCCTATGGGGCAAGGCAACTTTGGTCAGCCTCCAAATTCACAAGGATTTACAAATCTGGCTCCACCCCGTGGAGATGGGGAACAAGATTCACCTCCGCAGTTCAGTTCTAGGCAGTTTCATCAAGGGAGCCCGTCCTTTGGCCGGGGAAGGACGCAGCAGCGCGGACGGCATTCCTCTGGCAGAGGTGGCAGAGGCAGCCGGCATCGCAGATAGGTGTCTGGAGCTTTGCCCCCGGTGTACTGTGTTAGAGTCAGTATGAATGTTCCAGTCATAATCGAGACACCAAGAATCTGTAATGCCAGAAAAATGTTTCTTGTAATGATGCGTGCTCAATGGATTGAACATCCCGTCGATTGATACCGTGCCAGAAACCAGAAAACACACCCTGCGCTCACTATAATTTAGTTGAAAGGGATGTATTTTTGCATGCGAAGAAATTCTATTGCAAAAATAAATTAGCAACATTTCGAGGATAAAGTTTGGTGTTGGCTGTGACCGTGGCAATGGATAAGTGACAGGTTATTGTCTTGCTATGGTAGCGCGGTTTTTATTTTTTGTGGTGTGGTGGCATGGCACATAATTATTTCTGATTTTTTTTTGAAATACCGGGTAATTTCTATAGAGAAGCAATAAATAAAAAAATCGTTTTTAAAAGGTCATCTAAAATAGTAAAATATGGAGTTGACAAGCTTGCAAGCTGTGCATTATCCGGTTAAACGGCGTATCTGAAACGTTACTGTCCACCGCCGAGACTTCTCTTCCCGGTCCGGTTGCTTCCAGTTCCAGCGTTCCAACATCCAACGCCATGTCGGATATACTTCCTCAAGAATAATCTTCCGCACGCGCTCGCTCCCTCGCGTCCATGGCCGTGCTCCAGCCTCCTCTTCTCACTCCTCCCCCGCTCTGCTGCTGCTCGCATGCCTGCCTCTACCCAAGGTTCTTGAAACTGCCTCCGAAATTCTCGAATGGGGCCTGTTCCACGGCGGCGAGGCCGTCGGACCGGAGCGAGTTATTAGTGGGTAAAAGCGGGGCCCTGGCTTGGAGAGCGGCGGGGAGACAACGGCGGCGGCTTGGCGTCACCGGAGCTGGGAGAGGCCCCTTCTTTGGCGGCGGCGGGAGGCGTATGGACAAGGGCACCACCCGGGTCGTGGGGAACCTCGTCTTCGCTGCCGTCGTTACGTACCTCGCCGTGACCGGCCAGCTCCGGTGGGTTATTGACGCCATCGTCTCCCTCTGGGTACGAGAATTCTTGCTGCTAAAATGAATTGTTTATAATTTGCTTCTTCTGTGAGAACATTTGGGATTGGTGGCGCTAGGTTGTTTGATTTGTTTCTTCGATGAGAATATTTGGGATTGGCACTAGCTTGTTTATTTTGCTTCTTCGATGCCTGACTGTAGGAAATAAATGTTAGCTCGGATGAAAAATGTCGTCCCGTGTTCGGCTGGGGCGGGCGGGCTGGCTGGGCTGGCCAGCCCCTCACATGGACACTATTCACATGAACCAGCCAGCAGTACTTCTCTCTCACATAAACGAACCAGCAACGATACGAACCAGCCAACTGAACAGGCTTGCTCAACCAAGAACGCAGTGCTTTTTAACAGTACGATTTTGCTGTCCATGCTGTAGTAGCTTCTCAGCTGACTTCAAATTTCCAGTCAGTTTACAGTTCCACCAACACCAAGTAATGTTGTTTAGTTTGGCAAAGATGCACTACAATTGACTTGCTAGTGTTCAATTGTGCACTGCGTCATAGACTCATGGAAAACTTGAGCATAGATTCCATAGAATCTTGACACTGAAATTATGGGACCTTGATTTAGCTTACTCTATGGCTCAACTAACATTTATAAGCTTGTCCATTTGATAATTGGGTTTGTACATACAACAAAATGTCATACAATCTTCGTGTTTATTCATTCATACATGATTTTATTTTATTAAATTGTCATTAATTTGGATTTTTATCTCTCTTCTGAAAACAGCTCCTCACAATACTGCTGCCTGTTCTGGCTCTGGGTGCATTTTTCTTCTTTGCAGGACAAGATATACTGCAGGGCGATGTAAGTCTCCTCATAAATTTGGCATTCAGCTATTGCTTCTTTCTAATGATTGATTTTTATCTACTCCATACTTGTGAAAAAATATTCCTGCATAATCCTCCCCACTTATAAAACATTGCTTATTAAAGTTACATATTTTATGCCTATTAGCAGCAGTATGGTTATCTCATTCACACCCAAAACTGGAAGAAGAAACTGTGTTGTCTCTATGCACAGTTCTGTTAATGTTCCCATATTCATATGCTCTTTCCTTTGTTGCAGTGTCCAAACTGTGGAAAAAGCTTCCAGATACTGAAGTGAGCATAAACAGCACTATATAAAACTACTTCTATCACAGATTTGTACTTAAAGAAAACTCTGATTAGCTTAATTGTCTTATAGGTCAGCTTTGAAGGATGGCCCACAACTATGTCCTTATTGCACTCAACCTTTCTCTGGTAAGTGGTTTAGTATTTTCATCAACGGCTACCTCACCATCACTACCCACCCTTTCACCCTCTTTCTCTGTGTTTTGGTATAACATTAACAATGCTGACCACAAATTTTCACTGAACCTATGGTTGTACAACTGTTAATGTACTCTAGATCGGATACAGCAATAGAGTTATGTTGAACCTCTTTTTGTAAAAAAAAAAGGGAGTTATGTTGAACCCTGTGGCTGAAACCTTTATAGCCATTACTTATGTATGTAGTATCAGTTTACAATTCAAATCTCTTCTCTACCAATTTATTCTATTATCTGCCAACTAAGAATGGAGATATGTGGAATCGCCTTGAAGTCTTGAATGTTTCCACTGGACATACTTATCATTCCATTGTTTCACATCTTTGTTATGCTTGTCTGTGTGGAACCCTTTATATTGGAGCTAAGATATCCTTGTACATGCTGCAGTTCAGGGCAACAAATTTGTTAGAGAATCTGCTAGATTTTCATCTGGGAGGGGCGCTACTGCTACAAATGGTCAAGTGTTCAATGAGTTCTTCAACCGCAACATGAGAGGTCCCAAATAATTCTGTTCATTCTTTATTTTTCTATTCTTGTATTTGAGCCATCTAAAGTGACTAATTTCTTTTGCTTTAGTGAACATCGTGAACAAAAGAATTCACTCAATTCAGTCGACTTTTAGCCCCGCCCTCACCCACCCATCCTGCTCCCAAACTCTTTTCATAGTTTAAAAACTTCCGTCAACTTCGATATATCTCGAAACCGAACAAAAATGTCCCTATGCCAGTTTGATGGTTTTTGAATGTCTGACTAGGCATTGAACTGTTGTGTTGGCAGCGGGTCCCGCTTGTCATGGAGAGTGCAAGGGAGTATGAGAGAACTGAGTTAGAATCATCTCCTACAGTCCTACCCCACCTGCCTGTTAGGTGTCACAGATCTTGCTGATATCAAGATCGCTGGCCATGATGAGGCCTTCGGGTCATGGCTGAGGGCATGGAGCCGATCACCGTCAGGAATACATCCCCTTTGCTCCCTCACCTTCCATGGCTACCTCCTACCTGAATCAAGAGTGGATTCATCAGGCCATCAGGACTCGATTTTTTTTTTTTTTGAAATTACCAGGGTTAGAGATGCAAGTAGAGGGGTGTGCATGCCAGTGACTCCCATCAAAAACAGCGTGCATGCCAGGCGACTCCACCCATAAAACAGCGCTGATTATAGACTTTTTAGTTCTCTTCCTTTGCCCATCGAGGAGCACGCAGGGGTGCGAGCAACTGAGCTGCTATGTTTAGCCCCAAGGCCTCAGCACCAACTTGAAGGCCAGGTGTTGTAAACACCGTAGTCAAATTAATGAGTGAAGGGATTGGTTTAAGATGGTTTCAAGAGACGTAGGGATTGGTTTAAGTTGTCTGGCAATGAACTTTTTTCCCTGCAATCTGGCTAACGAATCATCAGTAACCACACATTGTGCTTGTGCATGTAGGAATGGCGCCTTCTGGAACGATTGTGGACGTTGAGGCTGAAGTCAAGGACGTCGAGTGATGTTTTCCACATGATCCTTCATCAGTGCTCATCAGTACCAGCTCTTATCTTCAGTTGAAGAAGGCATTATTTACTTCTGCAGGATAACACTCTGTAGCGTGCCCTTATCGTCATATATGTTCACATACAAAGTTTGGGTCCCAGATGTGGGAAGAAGCTGAAACTGCGAGACTAGAGCGCGTTTTGGAAAATGGATGGACACTGTGTAGTAAAGTAGGGAAGGGTGAGTATCATATACTCCCTCTATTCCAATTTGTAAGTCGCTTTGACTTTTTTGCTACATCCATTTTGCTATGTATCTAGATATAACATATGTCTAGATACATAACAAATTCTATGTAAAAAAAAAGGTCAAAATGACTTATAATTTGGAACGGATGGAGTATGTGATTTGTGCTGAATCTGGGATAGGAGTTGTAGGGACATGGTGTGTTTACTACTAGTGGTATAGTATAGTATATTGTGTCAGTGTATATCTGTGTGCACATGAGGACCTGGAGGAGAGCAGCTAGGAACATAGGACAATTTGTGGATGAACATCATGTGAAATTGTGGATTGCCTTGTTGCTAAGAGGGACGCCAGTGGGCAGTGGTGGAGATAGGAATGGAGCAAGAAGGGGCCTGAGCTCTATTGCATGGATACAAGTCCCCCCATTATTATTATGTGATATATATGCAATGCGGCCATAGTCTGAACTCTGAAGTACAATACCAAACAAAGACGCACAAAAAATAGTCGCCGTTGCCGGGGATCGAACCCGGGTCGCCCGCGTGACAGGCGGGAATACTCACCACTATACTACAACGACAACAGTTTAACTGATTACAAGACACGATAATAATCGATTACTGTTGAACGAAGCAAACGCAAATTGTAAACCTGAAGGCTGAAGCACGCGATGTGAATGAAGATGATGATGTTAATGTTAGCATGGGTGAGAAAACACTCGCTTGTTCTGTAGCAAAGCTGCTTCATTTTGGCAAAGGGCCACTAGCTTTTGATGGCATTTGTTTCGGCGGCCGGTCCCGCTGCCTGCCTTGCCTGTCGCTTGCCTCGGGTCGTTGCGGTGGTGGACGGTAACGCAAAGGCAAGGCAGCGAAGCGCTCGTCGTCGGTCGAACTCGGACGTCTATGCTGCAGGCCTGCAGCAAGCAGAAGTGCATGAGCATGACCGACCCTAGGCAGCAGAAGTTCCGTCCACTGCGTCATTTTTCAGTCATCAAGGAGATACAAGACTTGAAATCTTGAGCCACTGCTCTAGTAGAAAGTACAAATAAACTGAAGTTTACTGACCGACCCTAGGCAGCAAATTTTTTTTAAGATTTCCGTCCACTGCGTCATCTTTTTCAGTCATCAAGCATTAAATATAAATAAAAATAAAACTAATTACTGCATCTTTAGGACGAAATTCACGAGACGAATCTTTTTAAGCCAATTAGATTATGATTGGAACTAAGTACAAATAACAATAAAAAACTGAAGTTTACTCGACTTACTTATATTCTTTGCCAAAAAAGGAGGCCTGCGTGCCAGTTGGGCAGGTGCCTTGTATCGAACGCTCGGATGTGTCTGCACGGATTTTTGTTTTTGGTAGCTTTTGCGTTGCCTTTTCTGGTGGTGGCAGGAGGTTTTGGTCATGAATTTGGTCCCTGGGTGACCAGTTTCGTGACCGCGTTTAGGCGTCTTTACTTTCGTTTTCGCTAAACTGTGGATCATTGTAATTTTGTTAAGATCGTAATTACCGTTGTAGAAGAAAAAAGAGGTGCTCCTAGTCTCCTACTATGTATCGTTTTTGGAATCTATTCTGCAATGCAATCCACTAACTTCTGTCAATGATCAAGGACATACAAGAAGCTTCGTTTAAAAATAAAGGAGATATACGAGAAGTGAACAACTTCTCTCAAGTAAACAGAAGTTGAACACGTTTTATCAGCTCTATCTAAGAAACATGTTTTAGCAAAACAAAAATGACCATGTATTCTTGGCAAAGATTCGCACCTATGTAATCGGTTAAGTTCTGTGCCCTACTACGTTTTCAAACTGATGAAGAGTCACTTGATATAAATATCCAAAATTTGGTTAAAAAAAAGCGCCGTTGCCGGGGATCGAACCCGGGTCGTCCGCGTGACAGGCGGAAATACTCACCACTATACTACAACGACTTAGTTGGCATATGGCATGATGCTGTATTCTAGTTTAGTTACAAAATATTGCCAAGAAACGCAGGGCAACATCTACCACGAGACTGCAGAACTCTAGTAACCCAGCCCTGGTTTTGAGAATGTTCCATCAACCATCTCCCAAGCAACAGACGAACCAGGCAACCAGGCGCACGGCGAGCGGACAATCACAATTCACAAGGACCTCAGCGGCCGCACGCAGTTCAAAAGGTCAAAACTCCAGTCTCCAGGCAAGGAATACTCCCAATTGCTTGAACCAGACAAAGATGGCGGTAACAAAACACATTCATCAACACAAGAGCACGTGGTGATACAAAGCTGCGTCCAGGCAGCACTAATTCTCTGCTGATATACAGCTCTCAGTCACAACGTACATGTTACACCTCAAGCTTTCTTCGCATGGATACTCTCAGGGGAACCTGAACCTATCATCTGGGGATGTATAGAGTAGCAGGTAGTGAGCGTAAGGAAAGAACAGCTAAACGCTACGAAGACCTTGAACCACATGGACGAAAACAAGGTTAGGTACATGAGGAAGCCTGTGACGGTAACTACCGCCACAAAATTCGCAAGGCACTTGGTTGTTGACAGATCCCCTTCGGTTCCTTCGTTGGGGAAGTGGCCTAGCGTGGAGAAACTGGACAGCAGCTCGTCCTTCAGCCTGAACCGCTCTATCAACCAGTCAGCTACCTCGTCTTCGGATGTTGGTATGTCGGAAACTTGGATACTGTTGATGTGGATATGGACTTCGGAAGGACCAATGCCGTAAACGTTGTCCAGAAAAGTTGGCGGTCGATGTTTGTACGCGATTGTGATGTCATAAACTGCATTAATCAACAAGGCGCGGGTCAAGCAACCAAAAGAACAATTTTTTGTACCAAAATACTGCAGAGTATTAACACTGCCAGATACATACATCCATAAATATACCAAAGTAGTCATGGAACCAAATAAGAAACAGAACCTAAAGGGCGAATCTGACAGCAAAAAAATGAAACTATCGAGAGTGAACTAAATCAAAGTATAAAGTTCAGTTCCTGAAAAATTTTATAATATTATACAAGTTTTTCCGCCTGTGACCGGAAGGGCGGGCCTGGTGCAAGCGGTAGAGTCTTACCGCCTGTGACCGGAAGGTCCCGGGTTCGAGTCGCAGTCTCCTCGCATTGCACAGGCGAGGGTAAGGCTCGCCACTGACACCCTTCCCTAGACCCCGCACAGAGCGGGAGCTCTCTGCACTAGGTACGCCCTTTTTTATACAAGTTTTTCAATTCACAACTTCAAATGGTGTACACCATATCAGTCTATGCTTCAGGCCTCCAGTTAAATATAAATTGCATGGAATTTTAGTTTCATCTACTACAGTAACATTTCCAGGATACTTACCTAGCGTGCATTTGGAATGTTTTATTATAATGTTATACAAGTCTTTCAATTCACAACTTTGAACGGTGTAAAAATATCAGCCTATGCTTCAGACCTCCAATTAAATTTTGCATGGGATTTTAGTTTCACCTACTACAGTAACATTTCCAGGATCCTGACGACCTTGCATTTGGAATGTTTTATTTGGCAGCTACCATTAAGGGTAGCATATCAGCTACCATTAGGCACCTGTGTCAGGATGTGTAGACACTGGGGTACCCTCTACCCTGGCTGGCAGCCAACCCACCACAACTCTAGCAAGGTAATTGAGTTTATATAACCTTTTTGTGTACACATATCATACATGTTGTGTCCTTGAATACCAAACCACACTGCCTATACATATGACCCCCCCCCCTCTAAACACCCACACCTCTGAAGGGTGTGTGGTGTTTGCCCTGGGTGCGACCAACTGTGCTATGCCCATCTTCCATCTGGCAAGTGCCATTAACAGAGGTTTTGCATAAATGAACCATGTAGTCCAGTCAATAATGATTTGAACAAGTCAGCAGAGTCCGTTGTAAGGTGTAAGGATCCATGACATGGCTGCCACAAAATGGTAGTCTGCAACGCTGCAATAAAGAAGAAATATTTCAAAAGACAGTGTGAACACTAACCAGCATCTATGGTACTCCTCAGCACTTGCAAACAGCAATTGAAACCCTTTGTCTTGGGAAGGAGTACGTTCTTCAGAACAGGCAAACCATGCTCTGCTGCATATTCTTGACTTTTGATACACTTCTTCTCACTGAGATATTAACATTAGCACTAGTTAGAATACAGATAGATAAAAGGACATGTGAAGCATAGCAGTCAAAAAAAATTATTGAAGGTGAATGATTCGAAATATTCTTCCAGAAGCCTGGAGTGCAAACCCGGATCATGCCAGTGATTTAGGCAAACATGTGGCAAGAAAGAATGGGAAGAGATCTTACGTATAGTCAGTGCCTTCTGGGAAAACTGCCAACCAAAGGGGATCCTTTGGGTTCTTCAATTCAGAAAGCCTGCTTCGGATTATTGCTTCATCAATCTCCCACTTCCTCTCTACCGGAATAAACTCAATAATGTGAAATGCCCAGTTGAAAACAGGTAACTTCATCAAGCTTTTCTTAAGGATATACTTGATGCACTGCAAGCGGCCTTTCCTCAATGCAAAATCCCACAAGTACATCCAGTCAACCTCAGTCCTGTGGTTAGCAAATAACAGCACTCGCTCTTTTGCTGGCACACTTTCACCAGAGAAAACAAACCTGGTCTTGTTAATCTTCTCAAACAAAAAAGGCCACATGGCTAACCACATCCCAAACAGGAAGCATGTAGACTTTCTGCTGTAATGCAAACTGAACAACCGCACAAGGAAAGTAGTTACAGGGGACAGGTAAACCATCATCAGAAATGCTGTTAATATCATAATCACCAAACACAATACTCCACGGAATCTTCTCATGAAAGTCAATGGGCAGTGCCTTGGTCCCATTTCAACAATGGAAGGACCAGGAGGATCAATGGTTTGCACTTGATTCCGTTTTCCATTTACATGATGCCCTTGGGAACTAGTTGAATCGGAACACTCCATTTTGTATGGCTATAATGAAAACCCTATGCCCCTGAGAACTTCACACTCGCAGCACCAACGGAATCATCTAAACTGCACACATGATGGGAAAAGTAAGACTGCACAGAGTCACTAGAGGTTCATTGTAAATATTGCGGTATTAGCACAACTTGAAACAAAAGGTCTCTAATGTTTGCTGCTAAAATCTATAACAGGAAATTAGGGAAAGAAACTATAACCAGGAGTCCAGGTCTATTGCTAGGCTGAGCCTCTAGAGACATGCATTATGCAAGAATTGTTTTCTTAAATAAATAAATGCGCTAAAGCCTACCACAATCCAAGACAATGTCACCTTAACAATTGCTACGACAAAGTTACATTAAGACTTGACTAGTTCGCACTTTGGAGCTAAATCTCCATTTTCCCTCCCTGTTTTTATGCACATCAACCAGTGCCAACAAATATAAATAAATGAGGAATTGCTTTTCATTTATGAACATCAATCTGACTGAGATGGGAAAACGATGGTATGAAAGCACGCTCCAACTGTGGCAGTAAGCTATTATGAAAGGGCCATTCGCAGGCTCACTCATAACACTCAACCAAAAAGGTTGACAGCAGCCCGGCATTACGTGCTATAGCAGAGAACTAACATACTTTCAATCCAAAAAGGGCACCCATGCGATGCTAACACTTAACCAACACCACGAAGGACATGGGTGTACACATGTACACCAGATAATCAAAAAACGAAGTTAGTACAAACAATGCACGTATACACTTGCAACTAGATCAGGTCCGGTTACAAATAGCCAAATAGCTGAGGTTAGGCTTTGGGTGATGCTCGGTTTCGCACAGAAGAAAGGGAAGAGAAAGGGCAAGCATACCTGTTAGGTGCTCGTTGCCGGAGAAGGGCTCGACGGAGACCTGCGCATCTGGCGTAGGGCAGCGGCGGCAGGGGTCCTAAACTCCTAGTGGTCGCTGATAGATCGAGAGAGAGCACGCGGGGAGAACGAATAGGCCAGTCGGGAGTTGTTTGGCCGGAGGAGAGCGTATCGCTGCCTCGGCGGGCGGCGGGCGGCGGGCGGAGGCGGGCGAGACGAGCCTCTGGCAAGCGATTCCGGCGGATTGGGAGGTCGGTTTCGTGACGGGTCGGTGGAGCCGTGGAGGGGAAAGCGAGAGGAGTGGAGTGGAGTGGAGTGTGCGTCCCCATCTACCCTCCCATTGCAGAGAGGGTTTAGCAGTGGTCCATGGTGGATGGATGGACGGGGTTAGCACACGCTTCCTCGTTACAGCTGGGTCAAGTCACAATGTCACATTCATTGCTCGACCTAGGATGGTAGCATATGTTTGGGTTTTAGGTCAACTCAATCCATGTCAACTTTGAAATTCAAGATGCATAAAACAATCTTGACAATTCAAAAAACAAAGATACGACAAATTAGTTGGCAATCTTTCTTTCGCCAAATGATCACAAGGGTTTATGCACTAAGAACATGCAAGTCGTTTTGGGTTGCATCCGAAGACATGGAAAGGGATGTTTTTATATCAGCAGACGAAGCCAAAGCTTATGGACTTATCGATATTGTAGGGGATGAAATGATTGACGAGCACTGCGATACTGATCCAGTGTGGTTTCCAGAAATGTTTAAGGATCGGTAGTGGGTGGATTCCTTGTAAATTTATTTCAAACCTAAATTCGGGTTTTATGCTATAGAAAATAGAAATAAGGGAAGGGCGCATATCCATCGCTTTGCTCAAATCTTTGCAGTTGCGCCTATATCATCAAATATAAAAAAAATATCAATTCATCGTGTATAACTTACCGTGAGGACGTACATCTCTTCGAGAGAATACATCCGACAATTAGGATATGATCTGATTGCTTCTTAAAATGACCTATCGTTAGCATTGAATGGTGTTTCTCCTGTTTGATGATTCTAAAATATCGATTCTGGACATAGATTCTTCCATGAAAGAACAAAAAATAGAAACCCCCATGTTTGGTTTGGTTGTTGGACAATTTTATTTGTATGTAAGGGCTTTGGTGCATATATTGTAATATTATTTTCACTTGCCATGATGCAAAAAAACAAATGTCTCTAGAAAATGATAAGACCACGGGTTGGTTTGCATTCTTTCGAGGACCAACTACAATCTACTAACAATGAGGTAATCTTTAACCATAATGTACTCTCAAATGATTGTAAAACACCTATTGTGGACATTGGTTCTCCAATTAAACATCAAATAAAGAGGAAGCTCACCCAAATGTTTCTTCCGGATATCGTCGACCATCTAGAAATGATGGAAACTGCTAATGACAAGGAAAAATGTGAGCTAGAATTTTGTCAACACAACAAACAAAAATAAACACAACATTGATTTAGTTGATCTCAAGTTGAATACATGCACAATCTAAAAAAAACTCGGCCTGCTTGAGCATGGTGCTTAAGGTAGAAGACATTTCACTTAGGCAGAGAAAACCCCTGAACCCCAATGCTCCGTCCTCACACAGCGGCGGTGTCGCCCTGTGAACGGGCCGGTCCTTAGACATGTACGTGCTTTGGGAATACGGGACAGATGAGCGGATTTTTTTTACCTCCAACTGGAGAACGAACGCGGCCGTGGGGGTTCAAACCCAGCAAGCAAGGGTGCTACTTGGACATCCTAACCACTTTGTCTAGGAGCCGTTCGCACCTGCACAATCTTACATCGCATTTTCTATTTTTTCACTCATTGCATTTTCTAATTTTCACAGTTAAAGTTGATACCTTTTGTTAAACTATAGACTATATTTGCGATGAAGAAGATGCCACAATTATAAATTCAATTTAAAACTCTAATGATAAAAATAATAGTCGTGAGATTGATTGGGGGGGGGCTCATAAGCACATTTATTTCTTTCTACCTCTTAAAATGTTTAATGAGCCCTTCTAACCACTTGTGCAATGTTGTAAGTTCGCATATACTAAAAATGTGCATCACGTTGAAGTACTAAACTTCTGAATGCATGTTGCAAGTCATAGATGCATACATCAACCTCATTAGAGTCGCAAATCATCTATTGTGTAGAGAAAGATCAACAATTTACCTTAACAATTTAGGCCTTGTTTGGATATTGTAGTATTAAGGGGGTGCTTGGGACTGCTCCACAAAATGGAGCATCTCTTTAGGTGCTCTCACAACTCTACTATTTTTTCTCGAATAGAGTGCGTATAGCTGAAACCCTTTGGCTGAAAAACGTGGAGCGAAACTGAAAAATGTAGAGCGAAGCAGTCCCAAACACCTCCTAAGAAACCATATAATTAAGAAACTGTAGTTTTAGAACCATTGATGTGCAAAACCGTGGTTTAGAAAAAAGAGGTCTAGAATGGAGTTTTTAAAACTCCCAAAAGACTACAGTTTTAGCAATACCATTGTGACAGAACCGCCCAATTTATATAAGATCAAGTACGGTTGTCCCTGCTAACACGTTGACACACCTGCTCCGGCACAGTGCGCTGCGGGCAATCTACTCGGCCCGAATAATCTTCCAGCTTCACGGTCGGAAGGTACTTTATCCGGCCAGCTAAATGTAAGACATGCGTTCAACATGACTCGAGGCCCAACAACGGTCGGTCCTTAATCGACACAGACGGAAACTAACAGCACCCTAGAACCCTATCTGGTTACCTTTAGGGATGAAAACGGATCGGATACGAACGGATATCACTCATATTATATTTGTTTTTATATTTCTGTTCGGATTCGGATTCGGACACGGATAGCGTTCGAGATACATATACGAATACGGATTGACTTCGATTACGGACACGAATAATGAGTATCGAATACGGTATGAATCGGATTCGGAGAAGGTCGGATACAAATATCTATTCGGATATTGAGTAAAAGCAAGATATATATATATATATATCAAATGCATAAACCATTACACCACTCTATGAGTCCATAATCCATCTAGATTAAGCCGAAAGACTAAAGAGTAAAGCAACAAATAAGATAAAGAATGAGATACATCATACATCAAACATCATATAAGCACCAATCTTCGCAGCATGAGTAGAAATAGCCAAGCACATTGCTTCATGTGTCTCATGGAGTCATGGTCATGGATTCAAGATCTACAATCCTTATATAGGCCATTTTTTTCATTTTGAGAAAGTTTGAACAAAATGTAGTTCAAATTTCACAAGTGTGTGACATAGTTTTAGAAAGTCTCAGATGAGATTTAAGAATTTGTGACTAGTGTTTGATATAAAACTTTCTCAAATGGGAAAATGAGCTATGTAACAATTGTATATCTTGCTGAGATGATCAAACTTGGTATTCAGAGTTTTTTCATCTGAGGTCATTTAGTGTCTCATTTGAGCAAGTTTGACCAAATCAAATTTGGTCAAATGAAAAAACAACACTTTGACTCTAGTATTATGAACTCTAAATGACTTCAAATTGAAAAGTTTTGAATACCAAGTTTGTTCAACTCATCAAGATCTACAATTCTTGTTTTGGTCAACTTTCCATTTGAGATAGTTTGGACGGTTAAAATTTGTGATTTTTAAATTTTGATGCTTACAAACTAGTTTTCGGAACCCTAGATTGTCTCAAATTGAAAAGTTTTGAATACCAAGTTTGTTCAGCTCATCAAGATCTACAATCCTTATATAGGCTATGTTTTCATTTGAGAAAGTTTGAACAAAATGTAGTTCAAATTTCATAAGTGTGTGACATAGTTTCAGAAAGTCTATGAGATTCAAGAATTTGTGACTAGTGTTTGATAAAACTTTCTCAAATGGGAAAATGAGCTATGTAACAATTGTATATCTTGCTGAGATGATCAAACTTGGTATTCAGAGTTTTTTCATCTGAGGTCATTTAGTGTCTCATTTGAGCAAGTTTGACCAAATCAAATTTGGTCAAATGAAAAAATAACACTTTGACTCTAGTATTATAAACTCTAAATGACTTCAAATTGAAAAGTTTTGAATACCAAGTTTGTTCAACTCATCAAGATCTAC